TACAATAGATAATGCAGCTTTAATTAGCTAATGACCTAAATGCATGGCTTGTCTGATTGGCCATCCTCCTCGAGTGAGTTGGGGAATGCTGGTCCAAGCAGAAGTGAGAGCGAATACATTGTTCATAAAAGAAATCCTCTTGGGAGCAGCATTATTAATGGGATTAATAAATCAATCCATTGTTTGTCCTTACTGACCCGCTGGAAGAAGGAAGATAACTGGTTAAAATGGTCATTCACCATCTGCAGAGATGAATCATGCAATCTGCAGAACATATGGCTCTGTTTGGTAGTGGTAGGTGTTATCACAAAACAGGCCTGTTATTAATTATTTTATGATTAATGGATTTGGCAGTATTGTGCAGAAACAAATCTGAAACGAGCCACTTTAATGGTAAATCTGGTAAGATTCTATATTTTATCACCATCAAAAAAAAAAAAACAACCCAAGAAATATATATGCAAATTAATATCTGAGCCTGTGTGTAGCAAAGCGTGATATATTCGATTCCTGGTAAGAGTCCAGAATAGCTGTTAGGAACTTTAATGTAACGTATTGTTAAACCTTCAGAGAATACATTGAACAAAGGCACTGCTGTGAGTCCTAGTGCACTAGCTAAATATAGTCCAACTAACACAGTGTGTTTTCTAAAACAGTCGCAGGAATTAAAAAAAAATATATTTTTTAGAAATATAACTATATATTCATGTGCAGCAGGTTATCTTCTTTAAATTAAAGTTCTCATAGGCTAAAGGCTACAGACAGTTTTGGGAGCTGACACTACATTATATATCCAGTCTTAGCTCCCAAGCATTCATCCATGTTGCTTGGATCTGTGGTCTCTGGCAGTCATGCACTACTTGCTCTTTGACAATGGCTGACACACACACACGCCTCAGGAGGAGCCTGATAAATGACAAGCTTGAGGTAGTGACAGACTTAATTAAGACCAGTCTACAAACACTTTCTCTCATAAGACTCAGCTCAGCTGTCCTCAAAAACACACTGACCCACATTCAGGCCCACAAGCCCACATATGCACGAGTACACACATCTACATAGATGCACAGCAAAAGACAAAGAGCATCACTCCTCAGCCGCCGTATTTTCTCACAGACATAGACCAACACACAGACGGAAGAACCTCCACTCGACAGATAGCGCCACTTTTCATCACCACGTATTTAACAGCCTGGTGGAATCACTTCAAGCAGAGTATTATTACAGGGCTGACTGAATGGCCCCTTATTACCAGCCTGTCAACCTGTAAAAGTCTGCCTTGTGGGATTAATAAAGCTTGATTTCATTTGAAATGACTGAGTGGGTCTCCCATATCTCTGGAGACAGTGGGTGGTAATATCCATCGTTTGCTCTCCCACTCAGGCATTTCATCTTTTTATACATCTGCCTCCTTCAGTGTTTTCAATAGACACGTGAGGATCTGCTTCACACAAAAAATGCTGTTCTATGTAGATTTCCTTAAGGAAAACTGTCCTACACACCATCTTTGTCATCTGCCGTGTCTGAAGAATCCTGAGATTCTTTTGATTCCAGTGGAGCAATTCTATTATACTGGAGATCAACACAGTAGCTCATTTTTGTTACATAAAAAACCTACTAAGCCAAAGAAAAGTGGCTTTCTTCCATTAGTATATGAATCATGGAGCTTGTCAGCAGTCCACTGGTTTAGCTCCAGTTAAACAATACTGAGAGATTGTGTAAGAGGGTGATTCCCACCCCCATCTATATACACTATGGAGCGCTGCCAGTGCTTCATCAACTCCCTACAGAAAGCCTGAAACATGGATGATCATATAGACACTCTGGCTCACTGTACACAAGTAAAGCCTGGGACAAATGAAACATGCTCCAAAATAA